ATACTGGCCAGAACCGGGATGGAAAGACAAATGTTGCAGCCATCTGCTAACATGCTTGCGAACTTGAAAGTCCTAGGACGAATTATGTTGCCAGGGTGTGCAGGTAAGGTAAATTTGCAGAGCCAACATGATAAAAAAGCAGCTAGATAAGTGGTGTCTCTCAATGTTTCATCTACACCAAGGTTGATAAATACTTCTTTCTCTTTGGTGGACATCGACCGAACAGGAGGGATCACACCAGACGGATTTTGAGTCCTCATAGGGCGGTGAACTTTATTTTTTGTTGATTTCTTTGAAGGTTTGGCATGTCTTGATGCACCTTTAAACCATAAATTAATCCAGTCAGATATCTTCACATTCTGATCTCCTTTATACTTCTTGGAAAGTCTGTGGAAGGCCAAAAATAGGTGTTGACAACTCAAAGGGATAGAATTTTTATTGTTGCCAGCTTTGATAGTTCATCTGCACAAGGAATAACTTTATCATAAATTGTTCCTTGGTGAGGGAGACCACCTAGCATATATAGATCTCGAAGAGAAATTGATAGCTCGCCAATAGAACAATGAAGTGTATTAGTGGCTGGGCACCAACATTCAAGGAATGCTTTGAATACATCTTCATGGCGATCATAGGAAAATAGGGAGGCGAATAAAGCACCATATAGTTGTTGTTTTGATAGAAAGTCGTGGAAACGCGCCAAGACATCTTCTAACCACTCCCAATATAGTTCGGTGTATAGCAATTCAGCAGGAAGTTTATAGGGAATACTCCATAATATTTCCTTCGCCTGAACATTAAGACCCAATAGTGAAAACTGGTTTTCTTCAACAACTCTCTCATGAAGTGAAGAATTTAGTATCAAGGCTTTAGAGACAATAGATTCTTCATTAATCTGATCAGGACCAAAGTCGGTGAGTTCGCATGTGGCCATGCATGTCCAATGAGATGAACAATGTTTATTGTTAGAATCAGGCACTTGAATAGCATTGCGACCAAAAAGTGAGTCATATACACTTAATGTCGTTCCTTGGACTCGTTGACTATTTTTGCTCTCTAAGATAGTCAGCTTTTGCTTTGCGAAACACTTGAACACCACCATGATGGATACCAAAGCTCAAATCGGTGTTGTCTAGAAGGAGGATTCAATTTCTGCTACGGTTGACACAAATCAAGTTGTTATACCCAATCAAGCCCTGCAAAGAAAAAAAAAAAAAAAAAAAAAAGAAAAAAAAGAGAAGAAGAAACACACGTACCAATTATTTGTGATCTGACAAGTCTTCAGAGATTTTTGGAATTGATATCAAACCCGACAATATTGAGGGTATATATAGGCAACAAGATACCTCCAAGTTGTATTGGGATTTGGACAATTCAATTTAAATAGGAAAGTACAATTAAGATGAAAAAAAAAAAAAAAAAAAAAGAAACTTCAAGTCCCACTTGGAAAAAGAGACAAGTCTTGTCAAAATTGAAACTTGAAGTGGGGGCAATTTGTAGACACTAAAATTTAGTGGGCTTTGATTTTAACGAATGGACCCGTTAAATATAGGCCTAATGTTTAAATAAATTATTTAATTTACCAGGCTTGGTCCACTTAAATTATTTAATTAGCCCAGCCCAGATAATTAAATGAAACGATAATTATTCCTAATAAAATATATTTTGAATAATTATCTTTAAGGATAAATATCACAATATAACCGGCCCGACCCAGTTATAGTTTTATCCTTATCAGGAGATGACACGTGTCATCATCCTATTAATCCAAGAAGCCTATAAATAGAGGCTTGGAGGAAGAAAAAAAGGGGAGAGGATTCAGAATTCAGAAGTCTACAAATTCAGACACAAATTCAGAATTCAGAAGTTCAGAGACTCATAATTCAGACACAAATTCAGAATCAAAACCCAAAAGCGAAGAACATCAAGCACATCCAACAACGTGCCGTTCTTCATCAAATTCCACAGTGATTCAAGAACAAGCTCGTGCAGCCCTTGGATCCAACCAACAAAAAACAAGGAGATCGAATCAGAGGACCATTCTTTTTTTGTAAAAGATATTACAAAGGACTGTACTCCACATTCATAAATTAATAAAATTCTATTTTGCTCTATATTTTGTTTCTATTGCAGACTTACAAAATTTGTGTGTACAAAGCTTTTCCCTTTCTCTCTTCAAGATAAGATAAAATATTGGTTCAATAACTTGGGGGCTAATACCATCACTTCTTGGGCTCAAATGCAACAAGAGTTCCTTAAGAAGTATTACCCTACGAGTAAGACCAATCAAATGAGAACAGCTATTCGAGGATTTTCTCAAGGTGATGAAGAGCCATTATATGAAGCTTAGGAAATATTAAACGATTTGCTACAGAAGTGTCAACATCAAGACCATCCAAAGTGACAACTTGTCCAATGTTTCTATTAAAGCTTATCCGACACTCATAAGAAAATTGTGGATGCTTCATGTGGAGGCACATTTTTGCTTGGGCATGAAGATGATCTTTGGAATCATTTTAAGAGCATGAGTGAAAACTCCATACACCATTCTACATCTTCTCTGTTAAGTCGTGTTTCTAAACCTAGGGGAGAGAAAACTGAAAATCCATGTCACGTAGATAATTCTATGGAGATTGCCGCCGAGGTTAAGAATCTTACTCAAAGGTTTGATCAATTCCTTTTCGAGTCAAAATTCGGCAAGTTAATTATCCTCTCCTCCCCGAGCTCAAAATGAAACATGCATGGTTTGTTCAAGCTCAAGCCATAACACTTCCAATTGTCCTCATGGACATGCTACACCGAATGAGCCTCAAGAGCAAGTTAATGCTACTTTTACTTGTCCGGTGCATAATCCTTACTCCAATACTTACAATCCCGGATAGAGAGATCATCCGAATTTCTCTTGAAGAAATCAAGAATGAAGCTTTTCCCTTTCTCTCTTCGAGATAAGTCAAAATATTGGTTCAACAACTTGGGGGCTAATACCATCACTTCTTGGGCTCAAATGCAACAAGAATTCCTTAAGAAGTATTACCCCACGAGTAAGACCAATCAAATAAGAATAGCTATTCGAGGATTTTCTCAAGGTGATGAAGAGCCATTACATGAAGCTTAGGAAATATTGAACGATTTGCTACAGAAGTGTCCACATCAAGACTTTCCAAAGTGGCAACTTGTCCAATGTTTCTATTAAAGCTTATCCGACACTCATAAGAAAATTGTGGATGCTTCATGTGGAGGCACATTTTTGCTTGAGCATGAAGATGATCTTTGGAATCATTTTGAGAGCATGAGTGAAAACTCCATGCACCGTTCTACATCTTCTCTGTTAGGTCGTGTTTCTAAACCTGGGGGGAGTGAAAACTGAAAGTCCATGTCATGTAGATAATTCTATGGAGATTGTCACCGAGGTTAAGAATCTTACTCAAATGTTTGATTAATTCCTTTTCGAGTCAAAATTCAGCAAGTTAATTATCCTCTCCTCCCCGAGCTCAAAATGAAACATGCATGGTTTGTTCAAGCTCAAGCCATAACACTTCCAATTGTCCTCATGGACATGCTACACCGAATGAGCCTCAAGAGCAAGCTAAGGCTACTTTTACTCGTCCGGTGCATAATCCTTACTCCAATACTTATAATCCCGAATGGGGAGATCATCCGAATTTCTCTAGAAGAAATCAAGAATGAAGCTTTTCCCTTTCCCTCTTCGAGATAAGGCAAAATATTGGTTCAACAACTTAGGGGCTAATACCATAACTTCTTGGGCTCAAATGCAACAAGAATTCCATAAGAAGTATTACCCCACGAGTAAGACCAATCAAATGAGAACAGCTATTTGAGGATTTTCTCAAGGTGATGAAGAGCCATTACATGAAGCTTAGGAAATATTGAACGATTTGCTACAGAAGTGTCCACATCAAGACCTTCCAAAGTGACAACTTGTCCAATGTTTCTATTAAAGCTTATCTGACACTCATAAGAAAATTGTGGATGCTTCATGTGGAGGCACATTTTTGCTTGAGCATGAAGATGATCTTTGGAATCATTTTGAGAGCATGAGTGAAAACTTCAAACACTATTCTACATCTTTTCTATTAGGTCATGTTTCTAAACCTAGGGGGAGAGAAAACTGAAAATCCATGTCACGTAGATAATTCTATGGAGATTGCCGCCGAGGTTAAGAATCTTACTTAAAGGTTTGATCAATTCCTTTTCGAGTCAAAATTCGGCAAGTTAATTATCCTCTCCTCCCCTAGCTCAAAATGAAACATGCATGGTTTGTTCAAGCTCAAGCCATAACACTTCCAATTGTCCTCATGGACATGCTACACCGAATGAGCCTCAAAAGCAAGCTAATGCTACTTTTACTCGTCCGGTGCATAATCCTTACTCCAATACTTACAATCTCGGATGGAGAGATCATCCGAATTTCTCTAGAAGAAATCAAGGAGTGAGTGCAAACCCTCCTCAAGGAAAGTATGTTCCTCCCTATCTTCAAAATTCTCAAGCTCATGTTTATCATCCTCCACCTTACTCTCATCAAAATGTGAATCACTCTTCTACTCCAAGTCATGAAGCTCCAACTCTCATGCATCTCAAACACCTCAAAGGAACTCCGCCTTTAAGGAGAAGGTTTTGGGCACTTTGGGTAACCTTGAGGCGAACACTCAATTACTTCACTTCCATTCCCAATCAATCACAAAACTTGAATCCCAAATCTAGCAAATTACAAATTCTATGAACGCAAGGGAAAAAAAAATTTTGCCTAGTCAACCCAAGCCAAAACCAAAAGGGTGGAATCAAATACTACACCGGGATTTTCCAACCATGAACAAGTCCAAGCCATAACCACCTTAAGAAGTAGTAGAGTAGTTGACAACAAGGTCAAATTCCTAAGTGAAGTGAGTGATCCGATGCAACCAAATGATTGTCCGCTATCCATTCTAAAATCCATTCCTACTTCACCGAAAGAAAGTGATCATGAAAAGAAGGACATTCCATCATCATCATCATCCTCTCCATTAGAGGAGCCATATGAGCCTTGGGCTCCATTTCCTCAAACTTTGAAGGATTCTTCTCCTTTTGGGAGACAACAAGGAAAAATCCATTATATGATGGAAGACTTTAAGCAAGTGTGCACTCTTTGTTGGAATTAGATTCTCTTCTGCGCGTTCAATTTTATTGTCACAAGAAGTAACAAGCTAGTAACTTTTCGGAAAAAAAAACAAAAAAAACAAAAAAAAAAAAAAAAGAAAAAAAGTAACAAGCTAGTGTTGTATTGCATTGTATTTTAACCGGAATGCCAATTGAAAGGTGTTATGCAATTTGAATATTTTATTACACAATAATAAGGTTTACAATTTTCTTTTTCCAATCAATAAGCAGTGGATATAATCCACAAGACACTGTATTCTTAATAAATCTACGTCTCAAGGATCAAACTCAAATAATAATAACTTAAATCTTGTAGGCACGCACCATACCGGATCGAGCAGCAGGTAATACAAAAAACAAACTACTACAAACAAAACCAATCATCCATGGAAAACTCTCCATCATCTCATACATCTCCTTCTCAAACCCCGGAAACACACAATCAGTGACTCGATGATCCGAAAACGCGAAAGCCATAAACACCATCACAGACATGATGGCATGCACAAACTCCCTAAAACCAAGATAAAACTTGCGGTGATCGGGCACTACCACTTCATTACCAATATTGAACAGTTTCAGACCCTTAGGAGTCACACAACCGTAATAGGCTTCACCGTCTGATCCATGAAAACTATCCGTGAAGTGAAAGAAAAAGCAGGAGAGGGAACATAGGCCTAACAGGGCAATGGTCATCATAGTGCTAGTTTGAGTGCAACTGCCATTGTGGTACACTGAGGGGAGGACTGTTTCGAATATGAGGAGGGTTCCGGTGGGGAGAAAGTTCGCTAGCGTGGAGGCTTTTGAGAAAGTCTTCTGCATTCCCTTTGCCAATGGTTTTCCTGCAGCCTCCTTCTGGGGCACCAGAGGGCGGAAGGATTTTGATTCGAATATCTTCAGCTTGCTCCATTTCTTGGCTGGAATGTGATGAATGCAAAGGAAACAAAGTATGATTTGGTTAGTAGTGGTTTGGATTGGGTATGTTTACAATTTATACAACAATAGCATAATTTCAATAAGTAAAATTTGAATGCCATATATATATATATATTGAAAAAATTTAAGAAAATTGGACTTTGAAATGAAGATGGCGTGTTAGGCACTGTTCTTGAGTCGATACTTCCCCTCCGCATGTGAGTATTTAGAATAGTACCAACTCAAAGATACAACCCAAATGCTTTTAGATTGTCCCCTCGAGACAAGTTTGAAAGAGCAAAATATAACCATGTCGATATCTCGTTATCCACAAGCATCAAATAGAGACATATAAAGATATATATGTACATCACGAGTTGAGAAAAGAGAGTCAACTATATATATATATATATATGAGTTTTACAAAGATAATTGTAAGTAGGCTTACCCTATTCGAGAAGTGTACTAGAGACCTCCATTTATAAGATTGAGAGAGTAACTCCTTTTTTTGTAACAATGATGTTAATAGAAATCACCATAATTTTCATAATGAAAATCATCATAAATAATTAATTATAATTGTTATTAAAATATTCCTAACAAAAGGTAGTATATATTTCCAATGGTGGCAGTCAATTTGTGCTATAATAATAATATATCATATAGTTATTAGCTCATATTAAAAAGACAAAACTAGAGGCAATGGATCCAATAGATGAAAATTAATTCTTCGCAGAACTTTCTGGCTCTTAACAATTCTGACCAATATACTCTAAAATAAAATTTGTAACATCAATGTTAATGTATCTAACTTTGCTCAATCAGAGAGATAATTAGAAAAAACGCACTTAGAGTTGTAAGAATTGCAGAGGAAACAAATTCAACTTATAAGTGAAGTGTGAGCTAACTCGGATGTGTGTATATATGTATCTATATATATGTATGGTCATAAAAGAAAGAACGGAATTACCAGCAGAAGAGACGAATGGGGGTACTCCACAAAGAAGTGCCCGCTTTCTTTGAGGTGGCTCAGTTGAACCGTTGCGTGACAACGTAATATAGATGTTCAGAGACATCAGATTGAGTGGATCGTTACAGATTCTGTTAGCCACCAATATGGTGATTTTCAATTGAAGCTTCAGAGCTCCGGGCCACCTGGTGACGACTGAAGGAAGAGTCAAGATTATATTTCATGTGACGTTTTTTTTTTTTTTTTTTTTTTTTTTTTTTAACATGACTACTAATAATGAAACAGTAATTCAAAATATAGAAGTGAAATTATGGTGCATTAAATAAGATTTAAATAGTATGCCACTATTTTAAAAAAATATATAGTAAAAAAAAAAAAAATTAAAAATATAAAATACAAACATTAAGCAAATAAAATACAATAAATTTAAATAAGAAGAAGTGAAAAAATAAAAATAAAAAAAGTTACAGTGCATTCATCATACATGAGTGTAAAAAGAAGAATTTTAAGAGAGAGAGAGAGAGAGAAAAATATATATATATATTACAGAACCTTAGAGGTAGAAAATATTAGGGTTTGAATGTAATGTTTTTACAAGGAATCAAAGCTGAGGAATAAAAGAGAGAGGAAAGAAAAAATTAGATAATTTTCTTAATTAAAAATTTTAGTGGAGTATTTTTAAATTTTTCATAAATTTTTTTAAAGACCTAAATATGATATGAAAGGTGACTTGTAAAGAAAATAAAAATAAAATATTCGCGTGACGAGACTTAAATAAAGAATAATAATAATGACAATGAGATTCTCATTACTTCATGCTGGATTCTTGCATCCATCTTTTCATGTTTTTGATAGAATTAGATTCCCACTAGTTTTTTTTGGATGTTGAGCAGACCATTTGACCATATCCTTTGTTAGTAGCTTTCATTTCTGATTTACATATTTATCTTTTTCTTTTCTTTTCTTTTCTTTTCTTTTCTTTTCTTTTTTGATATGTGTGCTGTATTATGTTCTATTTGAATTAAATGCTCTCGTTACTATGTATTTTAGTTAAAATGGTAATGTTTTCTAAATTTTTTTAGAGTTAAAATCATAAAATCTCATGTACTATAAAAAAATATATTCGTATGCATAAAACCTCTAATAGAATTATAAAATCTCAGGAACTAACAAAAGTAATCAAGTTATCCCATTTTCATGATGAAATGAAAAAATTAACCCTACTATTAATGTTAAATTTAAAATGCTGATAATTGTTAATTAAAATTACCAATTTAAAATTTCTTTACACACGTGGTTGATTTTGCCTTAAACAGTGAGTGTTTGCTTTCGATTAGAATGGATCCCGCAGAGGTTAAATTCATAAATTTAAAATAACAATTATAAGTATGTTAATTTAAAATTAAATATGTTACAGTAATTTAAATTAAACAGTAAAGTCAATTTTATTATTTCATCACTAGAATGGGTTAACCTGATTAACCTGATTACTTTTATTAGCATGTCTTATCTTTGCTTTCCAAATCCTTGTTCTCTTTGCAAAAATGCCTAAGAATCCATTATTAACGTACAAATTCTTAGATCCATTGTATTTATTCTGCCCATATTTGGCATCATATTCAAGCATTATATCCATTATGTGGCGTTTATAGCTCTCCTTTGAACTGCAGGGATTCCCTTTGATTGCTTATTAGCGCAGTGGTTCCAATCAATGTCTCAATCAACAAGTCGGTTTTATTTTTTAAATTAAAGGAGGTTTGCTGAAGAATGGGCTCTTCCTAGCTGTTGATTAATTGCCTCGAATCCTAAGAGTTGCTTTCCTCTATCTGCTTTATGTTTGTTTTTTTGTTTCTGTTGTTTGGCTAGCCTTTAGCTGTTTGTTTTTAATTTGCTTAGCTTCCTTTGAGCTCTATGAGCTTTTGCTCTTCATATATCCCAGGGGATGCCTTGGTTCTTTTGTGCATATTTCTTTCATTCTTATATTTATTCGTTCTTCTCTTATCAAAAAATCATTATTATTGTTTTAATCCAATATGAATGAGTCAAGTGCTGAATTTCTCTCTCCAAACTTGTCTTTTACATGCTAAATCACTTACTATATTTAACTCTGTCAAAATCATTTTTAATAATCTCATCGCATGATATTTTTGGCCGCCATGTTGTCTCTTTCCTTCTATTACATCTAGTCTAGTTTCCTTATTTGACCCTTGCGTCAGGTCTCCAATATATATCTAAACCATCTAAGTATACTCTTTCGAATTTTCTCACCAATGGGCACTGTTAGAAAGTGGTTGTTTTGGATTATCATTTAGTTTTGAAGTGCATCATTGTATCATCAGTGTCCAAATAGTTATTAAATTTGCACTAAATATACTTGGTTTCCGTTCGAGTAATTCCCAATCCTTTCGTTTCTAATGGAGATATCGAGCATAACACTAATCTTTGGTGTAATCCTAGGCTTTTAAAAAATATACAAGTGTCACTACACATGATATGAGTAGAGTCGTCTGTTGCAACTCTTATTTGGTTCAGACTAGTATTAGCTCTACTGACCCTACAAGTTATTGGTGTTTTGTACTGTTCTAAGCCATGGAAGTTCTCTTTTCATTGGCTGCTTTGTTGTTAGCTTCTTGTCCATATTTCTTATTTATAAAACTTACCTTTTTAACCCAAAAAAAAAAAAAAACTTTCATTTTTTTTTTATTATTTTTTTTTCTAGTTCGTACTCACACACACTCTTCCAACAAACTGTTTGCACTTAGCAAAATCAATCTTTAGACATGAAACTTCATGAGACATCAGGAACGTTCAAATCTTTTTCAACTAGACCAACCCCTTTGAAATTTTGTTTTTTGTATTCATATACTCATCTTTGATAGTTTCTATGATTTGTAAAAAAAAATTATTTTCTATGTTGGGACCCAATCCTATGCTCTTTCTTAAATCTATAAAAATCATATGTAGGTATTATTGCTTATTCCAATATTCTTCAACTAATTGTATAAATAAGTACATAACTTCCATTGTTGATCTCCCCGGCATGAATCCGAATTGGTTATCGGATACAATGTCCCTTTCCCTGGTCTTTGTTCTATTATCCTTTCTTATATATTATTTTAATAATTCATTAATTTAATTCCTCTATAATTACCACAATTACGTATATATCCCCTTATTCTTCTAAATTGGTACTAACGTACTTTTTCTTCACTCATTTGGCTTTATACCTTATTTTAAGATGTTAAATAATTTTATTAGCCACTCAATTTTTACGTATCCGAATGTTCTCCATGCCTCTATGGTATATTATCGTGTCTACTACTTTTTACTCCCCATCTTATTCAGTATCATCTACCTCCTAACTAGCAAGTGATTTTATTTATAGCCCAATGTTAAGTTAATTTCCTTCAATCTAATTCTCTATGGTATTCCTCATTTAATAGATTTTGAAGATAATTTCACTTAGTTAATATATTACTTTCTTTGACTAATATTGTGTTATCTATATTCTTAATACATCTAATTTGATTTAAGTCTTTAGTTAATCTATCTCGATTCTTTACTAATTTATAAATATTTTCTCAACCTTTTTGTGCCTAGTTTTTCATACAAGACTTTTAACTAGCCTTGTTTCACTTTACTTACTTTCTCTTTGCTTCACGTTTGATTTTATTATGTGTATCTAACTTGTAGTTTACTTTTTTTGAAGAAAGTGTTGATTATATTTTCAATTAAAATGAATATTTGTCTTCTTAATTGATTTAACAATGATTAAAACACCTTGTAATTTTTCAATCGCTACAAACAGATTTAACATATATCACAATCGCTATAAATGCATTGCACAGATTTGGTCCATTTGTTTGTTGACACATACAATAATTGAGATCAAGATCATGTCCTGATTCGTTACTGGTCAGCTGGCTTGAATGCAGCACCTACTCTTTGTTGGAACGAATTAGCAAAAATAAGTTCTTCATAAATATTATTGGAGCAAAACATAACATAAATACAAATACACTATCAATGATAATATTTTAAATTTATATAATTAAAAAAAATTATACATAATTTCAAATTAATTCATAAATATATTTCTAAAATCAAACATTTAAAGTACGTTAGACTTCAATCCTTCTCTTTTCTCATACTTTTTCTCATTCTTTTACCCTTCCTCACTAAATACCTTTTCTTTTTTTTCTTTTTCTGGTTAGTTTTTTTTTTTTTCTTTTTCTTTTTTCAGTAAATAGTCTTTTTTTTCTTGTTGTAAACTTTGATTAATATTCAAAATATTATAAGACTTCCTAATTTTTGTTTTAGGGTCAACTTATATCAAGGACCATTCAAGGTGGCCCAGTATGTAAAGTGTTGTTGGTTTTGGCACTTTAAAATAAGTTCAATTCATGGTTCGGAGTTGCGGTATTAGTTGCGGTCGCGATGTAATGAATTCGGATAAGTATCAGTCTAAATTAGTTAAATTGATCGGTTCATAGAGGTGTGAAACAGTATTAGATCCTTGAAAAAAATTACGAATCGAACGATACAATGAACCATGATTCAACTACTTTAAACAATTGAGGTCAATCTCTAAAAAATATCTCGACAATTGCCTAGTGCATGTAGGACGGGACTGTATATCCCCGATACCCGATGATAGATTATGGAGAGGCCCGGCACCGAAATCTTGGTCAAAAAGTAAATAAATAAATTAATAAGCTCACCTACCAAAAATTACAAAAGAAAAACTGAAAGAATAAGAGCCAGCACCCCAAGAAAGTAGACTACAAAATGAATACAAATTTAAACCTCCAAATATAGTAATTAAGTTGGCCCACCCTTTTGTCTCACAAATAACCTTGAACAGCATATATACTTCATCCTATAACCTTACCTTAAAATGATGTTTGAAATCTCGTACATAAAGGATAAATGCTAGAATGTTCCGGGACCATTCCTATGTTCCGGGACCATTCCTATCTTATCAGCTTCAATCTCAAAGGATTTTTCGTCCATACAGTAGGGGAAGGAAACTCGAATACGAACACATTTAAGTATTTTAATAATTAAGTCACTAAATAATGTCATTTATAATTTTAATAGAAGAGGTCAAAATACCTGAAATGTTGACCAAATTAAGGGATGATGGAATAAATAGTAAAAATTTAGTCAAAGCATATAAATGTATCTAATTATCGTGTTTAAGTTTGTGGGCGTGCCTATTCTTACTCTTTTACATGTGTCATATTTTATTTTATTTTATTTTACAAGGTAAAAAAAATCTAAACCTGTCACTTCAAAATTTACTGAAAGAACTGATCCCTGACCTATGAAAACATCTGCGCATATGTCACATAATTATTGTGAAAGATAACTTCTTCCCACCTCAAATGTATAAATTAAATTCTGCACACTAATTGTCTGACATTAATGTCACCCTTTTTAGGTACAAGGAAAAGAGCATTAACACAATGAATATGACAACACATTTAATTTTTCACCTAGTTTAAAAAAAAAAAAAAAACAACAACAACAACTTAAGGGGCATTTTTATAGAACCCATGAATGATAGAGCTCATACTTAAAGATTGGGCAAATTTTGCCCTACAAAGAAAATAGCATTAGTACATAATCAATTTCAAAGTTTAGACCATATCATATCTTTCAAATAATCTTGGACACAATTTAATATGAAAATTTGTTAGATGGTCGTAGACCATGCAGTTCAGTCCAATCAAAAAAACTTAATTAAAAAATGTTACCAAATAAATAAATTAAAATAAAATAAATATAAATTTTGATTAGACTAAACCATCAAGTAATGTTTGATCGAGAGCCATTGATCTAATATATAGTTTTTTATTCGAACGTATATTCACTGAAGGAGCAAGAGCCTGCGCGAAGCAGTGCACCAGCGGGCATAGCAAGCGTGGAGGTTGGGCCAGTCGGAGGAGGAGCAGCCGGTGAAGTGGTGGAGCCATAGAGAGAGCACCTTTTCTTGCTCTTCTTCCTCCAATGTCTCTATGGTCTCTTCTAATACTGTCTCTAGCTCGGCTCTTTCGCTAATGCTAAGCACCTGTGCATCAGTGCCATTGCTTGCTCTGCACAGCAATGGCAACCATGACATTAGCATCTTCATTTTCGTTTGTCTTTGTTGCTCTTTCACCCTTTCTTCAACCTCGTCTCCTCCCATATCTTGGGCTTGCTTGAATAAAAATGCTACAAATTTAGGAGACAAAATAAATGATTAAAAAAATGAATTTTACTTTGCGCAAAATTTAAAATGACAGTAAGATTTCTGTATATTGTCGTATTGTGACCTCTCCCACCCCTACGTAATGATTAGCATGCAAAAGAAGAAATTGGTTTATGTCACCAAAATTAAGTTACAAAGCATCAAGTTGTCCTTATCTTTTAACATTTAACTCCACTTTTCAACTATAAAAATATGTTGGTTAGACTAAAAAGAAAAAAATAATACTCTCTCTTACCAAAGTAGATCTAGGGTGCCCCAAGCATACAAAGTAATTGATTTTTAAACAAATTAAAATGCACAATTTAAGTTGGTTGTTGGCTTAACACCTCCAATAAATGCCTAATAGAGGAAGCCAACATAATTTTTTAACCTACGTTGAGGTCCGCTTAAATATGATATTTCTTCGGTCTTAAAAACAATGTCTCTTTTGAAAAATCGTGACTTTTAATAATGTAATCTCTCTTCTCTTACTATGCATATCTAGAATTCAAATTTAGAAATATCAATAATTATTCCATCAATGCATAAAAAAATCAATTGATATTTCCATCATTTTCCCAATTATAATCGTTGGTCACCGTAAGCATTAATGATTCTGTTTATATATATGTGTGTGTGTGTGTGTGTGTGTGTGTCAATCATAGGCTGACGTTAACAAATTTCTGGCACCCACATGAATTTTAACAATTTGATTAGATATTCCAAATTTCAAGTCAAACACATATAGTTCGAGTCCACAAGATAATATACCTGAGACCTTAACCAAAGACCCTTGAAGCGGTGGCTCAGCCGAGAGCCCTAGCCAACCCAAGCTCGAAGCCGAAGCCCACCTACACACGGCTTCCTCACCATTCCCACAAGCAGCCATCTTCCGAGCCAGCCATAGAAGTTCCGCCGCCAGCTTCTCCGCTGAACTCCCCGGCCGGCTGAGCTCCTCCCACGACTTCCCGAACCGGGTCCATACCACGTCACCAAAGTATTGAACCGCCCATAAAACCCGTTTCAAAATATAATAATGAACAACTCTTGTTTCGTTACTGACCTCAATTCCATTATTACCGGCTTTGCATTGTTGGTCCGTCACGGCGGATTCAAGCTGGCCAAGTGTTCTTGAAAAAGCTGACGTAAGGACCGTACGATTAATCTCCAGGAGCGGTTCAGATCCCTCCCGGAGGTTCTCGTCAATGAGCCTATCAGTCAACGACCGAACGACGTCGTATTTGCGAGAGCTGACTGGAACTTCGTTGACTACTGATAACAGCTGCGAGAGCGCTCGAGCAATACCCGAGTCACCACCACTGCCACCACTACCACCACTACCGCCACCGTGGATGGTGGTCGGGACGTAATTACCACCTTTTGAAGGGTTAAAAGCGTAATTGTGATCAAATAATGGGAGGTTCAAGCTAGGGAAGAAAGAAAGAAGAAAGCGAAGCAAAAAGAAGAAAGAGGAGATGAGGAGTTTACGGAAGAAGTGTAGGAATTTGTAGTTTTCGGCTAAATTTAGAAGGATTTTGTCTACAAACATAAATATAGAGATTATGAGGTTCCTAAGAAGCAAAGGAGCTATGTTGGTGTCTGAGCTTTCCATCATGATCGATCCTTTTGTTTTTGTTCTCTTTCTCTCTCTAAAATGTAGTAATCTGTTATATATCTATATACCATGTTATGTGGTTTTTGTATGCATTTATAGGGTTTTAGAAGTGAATGGTAGTTAATTGGGTGTTAGTGTTGATGTAGACATATGAGCTAGATATCTGCATGAAACGACTGGCAGTTGAAATGTTACGTAGAAAAATATGTAAATGGTGTGCTATACTACTGTAGTTTCATGGATTTTTACTGTATAAACCAAGTATTGTAGTTTGGTCAATGCAACTATGTTTCAAACATTTGGAATTAGGTTCGACTTTTCTTCTCCAAATGATCTTAGAATAATTCGGCATCATGTAAACGATTTTGTGATGTTTCAAGAAGCTTTAAATTACACGACCAGGTCTACTATTGATGTATTATTACACACTTTTTTCATTTTTCTTTTTGTTTGGCCTCGAAAGGTTTGTATTACACGCTTTAAGTTTTGGTAGGTAATACCATGTTTTTTCCACCGGAATATAACACTAAGTGTGTTAGAGTTATAAGAGAAGTTCTCAAACTTCCAACTTTAGAATTTCTATTGGTTAAAAATTCAAAAGTCCTTAACTAATTAATTGTAGATAATACTTTAGTCAAACGGTACATCTAAGTTTATACCTGTTGATGAAAAGACGTGATAAAGTCTATTAATATGTAGGTTTTGATTAGCGGAGAGATTAATAAAACAAATACTTTTCTACTATCAGAAAAACCTGTTGATGAAAAGACGTGATAAAGTCTATTAATATGTAGGTTTTGATTAGCGGAGAGATTAATAAAACAAATACTTTTCTACTATCAAAAAAACTACTGCAATTATATTCTCTCTCTGCAATCATTCAGTCTACTTCTACTATATATATATTCTCTATTTCTCTAGGCAATATGACATCAAAACTTGGTAAAAGTTTCTCTGTGATTGTGTGCATAGGGAACAATTGAAGTTATATCTTGGAGTCTTTGGTGAATCGTAATTACCTGCACGTAAGGGAGACTTCAAAGGCTTTAGAACAGTGCATTGCATGCCTCTCCATCTAACAAGCCAAAACTATTTTTCTCTGTTTTGATCTATTTTTTGTTCTGATATAATTATATTTGTTGTTTAATTATTATTAAAGATTAATTATTTTATTATAATTATTTTCTTATTTGAAAACATCTTTTCCATTCTAAACGTAGAAGTATTTTACAATCTGTAAATCAATATCCCTAACAATCTAAAGCCTTTGAAATATTATTTCAATTTGGTAATTTATTATTAATTGATTTAGGTTATCTATTCTGTTTGCCTATCCAATTAGTTTAGATTGTTGCCGTGAATATATATATATATATATATATGATTGTTCGCTTATGATTGTTGCCATGTGTGTGTGTATATATATCTGATTGTTTACATATAACCTTTGCATATGCATATTGATAAAATCATTACTTTATAAAAAGAGATCGTGTGAAAACAGATTGTTACTTTAATAGAATCCTTACCTTATAGAATTGTTACTCATAGAATCCTTACTTTATAGAACCGTTGCTTTATACAAAGAGATTGTCACTTTATAAATTATTATCTGTTTGCATGAATTGTTTCCAATTTAAATTTTTTTTTTTTTTTTTTTTTTGTTGGTAATTTTAAATAAGAAAGAGACTGTGCTTTGATTTATTTTTCTAAAATCTCTCATTTTGAAAGTTAAACAGTATTGTTTTAAATAATAATAATTTGTTTAATTATTTTCTACCCTGTTTCAAATTTATTGTATGTCCTGTTTAGAATACAAATAATTTATTATTGTATGCTTCACTGTTACTTGAATTGGAATATATTATTAAAAAAAAAAAATAGAATTATATAGTGACATCTTTCTTTTAGTTTCTAACAGATTTATATATCTTGATTTGCCCTTTGTATTTTTGAGGAAACATGAATATGTCTAAATTGGAAGAGGCTAATACTGTTAAACCAGAAAAGTTTAGTGGTGTGAATTTTCAAAGGTGGCAAAAACAAATTAAATATTGGTTGACTGTCTTAGGACTTACATCTACCTTAGGAGAATCTCTAGGTAACTTAGAGTTGTCCTCATGGTTAACTCTTGAACAAATTGAATTTCATTGCCACAATAGAACTTTAAGTGCACTATCAGATCACCTTTATGATGTTTATCATACCACTAGTAGTGCTAAAGACCTTTGGAATGCCTTGGAAGCAGAATATGGAATTGAAGATGCTGGTGTAGAGCGATTTAATGTCTCAAACATTAATAACTATCAGAAGGTGGAAAATAAAAGAGTTAGTGATCAAATCTATGAATTTCAAGAGCTACTTAGGAAAGTGGAAAGGAAAGAAACTAAGTTAAGTGAGGACTTTAGAGTGTCCTATCTTATTGAAAAATTACCACTCTCTTGGTCTGATTTCGCTAAGTCCCTTAAACATAAACAAGGAGATCTAACGTTGACCCATGTAATTAATTCACTAAGGGTTGAAGAAAAACAGAAGTCAAGTGTCCAAAGTGAAAAAGAAAAGATAATTAAAGTAAACTTAGTTGAAAATACAAGTAATTCTAATAGCAATAAGAATCACTTTAGACCTAAAGGGAGGAACTTTAAGGGAACTACTAGAAATAACAACCACCACAAACATTTTAATAAGAATGTCTAGAATAATCGAGATAATAAATTTAAAAATACTAAGGGCAGTGAGGATAAACATTGCTATGTCTATGGGAGGATCAATCACAAGGCGAGGGATTGCTTTTACAAGAAAACTGAAGTGTATAGGCCCAAACATAAGTCATTTCAAAATCAGAAAGGTTCTAAAGCTCAAGTTAATGTGTTAGTGGATCAAGAAAATTCAAATGAAAATGCACTAAGGTATAAACTCAATTCAACTATTAATTACACTTACCACAACAGAGACTGGTGGTTAGATTCTGATGCTAATGTACATGTATGTTTTGATAGTGATTGCTTTAAAACTTTTCAGAACTCAAGTGGAGGAAGTGTAACTCTAGGGAATGACTCGGTCGCACGTGTACTTAGAATTGGAGATATAGAGGTAAAGATGACTTCTGGAAAGAGTTTGATTCTCAAGGATGTGTGACACGTTCCTGAAATAAGAAGAAATCTTATTAGTAGATAGTCCTTAGTACAACAAGGATATAAAGTTGTAATGGAGTCTAATAGAATAGTGATTACTAAGAATAATATTTTTATTGGAAAAGGTTATGTTACGGAAGGTTTGTTTAAGATGAATGTAATTTCTGAAGTTAATAAAAATTCTCTTCAAGTTTTTAGTGTAGTATCTTGTGATGTATGACATGGAAGATTCGGACATGTAAACTTGAAGAAAATTAAAAGATTAATGAATTTAAATTTAATTCCAATGACTGAGGTTGATTTGAAGCAAAAATGTGAAGTATGTGTTCAAGCAAAGCAACCTAGAAAACATTTTAAGTCTATTAAAAGAAATATCTAACTTTTAGAATTAATTCACAGTGATGTATGTGATTCAAATAGACCTCCAACTAAAGGTGGCAAAAAGTACTTTGTGACATTCATAGATAATTGTTCAAAATATTCTTATATATATCTAATTAAAACAAAGGATGAGGGTTTTGAAAGATTTAAAGTGTACAAAAATGAAGTGGAGAATCAACTAGAGGGGAAAATTAAAAGACTTAGGTCCGATAGAGGAGGAGAGTATCAATGGAATGTTCTTGGTACATTCTGAGAAGAAAGTGAAATTATATATGAAGTTACTACCCCTTATTCACCTCAATCTAATGATGTGGCAGAAAGGAAAAATCAGACTTTGTTGGACATGGTAAACGCTATGTTAACTAGTTCTGGTGTATCCGAGAACTTGTTGGGGAAGCAATACTCACTGCATATTTGATACTTAATATGGTAACTATTGGAGATAATGAAAAAACCCCATATGAAATTTGGAAAGGAAGAAAACCTAATATTAAATTCCTAAGAATGTGGGGGTGTTTAACAAAGGTGGCTATACCTGAACATAAGAAAAAGAAAATCGGACCTAAAACAGTAGATGTTATTTGCTTAGGTTATGCCCAAAATAGTAGTACTAATAGATTTTTAGTGTTTTAACTCTGAAATTAGTGAAATATCAAATAATACAATAATTGAGTCTATAGACGCGATATTTTTTGAAAACATTTTTCCATTTAAAATAAGAATTCCATACCATATAGTTGATAAACAATAAAACTCTACTTATGAGAAACCTTCTTCTAGTATATCTTCCGAAAATGAACTTGAATCTCAAATTGAACTTAGAAGAAGTAAAAGACCCCCAAATAGAAAAGAATTTTGGAGAAGGGTTCTATACATTTGTAGTAGAAGGAAAACCAAACACCTACAAAGAAGCCATGTCTTCCATAAATGCTCCTTTTTGGAAGGAGGCTATAAATAGTGAATTTGAATATATAATTCAAATAATACTTGGGTGCTGACTGATTTGCCTCCTGAAAATAAAGTCATTGGTTGTAAATGGGTATTTAGAAAGAAGCTAAGACCTGATGGAAGTATAGACAAGTATAAGGCAAGACTAGTAGCTAAGGGATTTACACAAAAGAAAGGAATAGATTATTTTGATACTTACTCACCTGTATTTAGTATTACCACTATTAGGATATTAATAGTTTTAGCATCCATACACAACTTAGTAATTCATCAAATGGATGTAAAGGCAGCATTTTTAAATGGAAAATTAGATGAAGAAATCTATATGGAACAATCTGAAGGTTATATTGTAAAAGGACAAGAACACAAGGTCTGTAGATTAGTAAAATCTTTATATGGTCTTAAACAAGTTCCTAAGCAGTGGCATGAAAATTTTGATAAAGTTATTTTGGATTATGGATTTAAAATAAATGAGCATGATAAATGTTTATACTATAAAGAGAGCAATGGAGATCATGTGATACTATGTCTTTATGTGGATGACATATTAATTTTTGGAACAAATTTGGAAATAGTAAATGACAT